CCCCTCATGGCGTGGGCCATCTGCTCCTGCGCCGCCTGCAGCAGGTCCCGGGCCAGCGCGGTGCCGTCCAGCGCCGGAGGGTTCTCCTTGGTGCCAGCGCCGGCCTCGGCCTTCCCAGCCCTCGCCCTCAGGGAGCCGGGATCCGCGGGGCTGGTGCTGTGAGACCCCCGCTCTCTCTCACGCTGACCAGACTCCTCCTTGACGCCCAAGTGCTCCTGTTCGTCGCCGGTGCTCTCGTCGTCCGCGTCCTCCTCGCTGCTGCTGCTGCTGCCCCGGCCGGGCCCCTCCTCGCACTCCCCAAACTCTGCCCTGGGACCCTCGGCGGGACTGCTCAGCCCCAGGCGGAGCTCGGGGTTCAAGGAGAAGCCTCTCCTCAAACTCTCCGAGCCGCGGCCGTAGGTGGAGACGTTGAGCAGGTAATGACCGGACATGGCAGGCCTGGACGTCCTCCTGCCCGTGAAGCCCAGCATGAACCTCTGGCTGGTGGAGCTGCTTTCCGCCGGGAAACCTGAGTGTGGGGGGTTCAGCTGCGAGGGCTGAAGGACGGGCAACGAGTTCTGCCTCTGCACCCTCTTGATGAGGGTCTGGAGGATCTGCTCCTGGGTCGCCTTGCTCAGCGCCTCGTGGCTCTGCTGCTGCTCAGGGCCGGGCTCCTTTCCCGAGGGCAGCGGGAAGGTCCTTGGAATGTGAGGCAGAGGCCTGTTCTGGCAGAAGACCTTCCCCAGCTGCTGTGAGGGCAAACCCGACGGTCTGTCGCCCGCCTCGGCCCCGGCGCTGTTCCCGGGAGCAGCGGGAGGAGCCGCCGCCCCTTTCTCTTCCCGAGGGGCCACGGGCACCGCTCTCACCTCTGCCTTGGTGAGCGGCTTCGGCAGGATCTGCTCCAGGGGGACGCTCTTGCCTTGGAGCAGCTGGGTGACCAAAGGGTTGTTGGCAGGAATACTGGAGCTGGCTCTGGGGGGGGTTTTAAGGCCGGGGGCTGCCGAGGAAGCGCCGCAGGGCGGGACGGGGGCAGCGGCGCCCACGGCTCCAGCCTGGGCCTCGGGGCCTGTGGGTGGAAGTGAGGACACCAGAGGGGAAGGGGGTTTGCTTTTGGAATCCTCAGAGCTGGTCCCTCCCGAGGCCGTGGGTGCTCCCGTGCTGGTGCCGCAGCCGGGCCCCTCCCCGAGCGCCGGAGCCCCGCGGGCACAGGGGGCCATCCCTGCTCTGTCCCCACTCCCAGCGCAAGGGGATCCCGTCCCCGGGGTCACCGTCACTGCCGGGGCTGCAGAGGAGGAGGAGCCGGGCCCGGGGGCCCTTGGCTGTAGTTGTGCTCCAGGAGGATGGCCAGGAGCTCCCTGCTCCGCCGCCGGGCTCTCCAGCTGGGAACGGGGAAGAAACCTTCTCGAACCTCCCCCGCCTCCAGTTCCTGCCAGTTCCAGTGGGTTTCCCGCCGTTCCAGTTTGGGTGTTCCCCCCGCCCGGGCCGGGCCCCGGCACGGTCCCCCCGGCCGAGGCGGCGGCGGCGGCGCTGGCGGCGGCGGCGGCGGCCGCTGCCCTCTGAGCCTTGGCCTGCTGGGCTCTCGCCTTGATGTCGGCCAAGGTCCTGGCCCCTGTCCTGCCCGGACTGGCGAGGGAGAGGGGGAAACGTGCCCTGGGAGAGACCTGGCCCGCAGGAAATGGCATCGGGGAGATCCTGGAGACGGGGATCTGGAACAGAGCAGAGCAAAAGGCGCGGCTGAGACACGGGGAGGGTCTCGCCCGTGGGCTGAGGGTTTCAGGGCTGGCGGTTTAGCCTTAGAGAACTAGTTGTAGTTTTGGGGAAACCCCTTTGGAGAAATCCCTCCTCTCCAAATAAGTACCAGGAGAGGTGTAGGACCCTGGGATCTCACCCCCAGTGTAAGTGCAGTACAGTCCCAGTGGCTCAGGGTGGAGCTCGTCCCTCACAGTCACAGCCAGAACCATCAGACACCATCACCCAGGGCCCACCCAGCTCCTCCCTGCGGGGCTGTTCCACACCTGTCGGCCCTTCCTCTGTTCCACACTTCATTCCCATGGAATTTCTGCCCTTTGGAAGGTTGGTGTCACCATCCTGCTCTTCCCCCTGCACACACACCGCTCGTCCCCTCGGTGTCTTTGTACAAACCATAATAATCCCTCCATCTGGAGATTAAATGCCAATATTTCAGTCCTTTCTTCCCAAACATTCCCCTCAGTGTCCCAGTTGACTTTCTCTAGGTTTGCTCTTTCCAGCTGAGCCCTGCACTGCCCTGGGTGCTCCCCCGTCCCCCCTGCAGGGACCTCAGGGGGTTTATTTGAGGTTACATTTGTTTTCCGTATCCACAAAACCTCCCTGAGTCCCACTGAGCTCTGAGCAGCCACTTCACCACTTCTCTCTCTCTTTTGGGAATGACACATCTGTCCCCACGTTCTCCTGCTTTTGCAGTCACCATTTGCAGTCCCCTTCAACTCACCCTGTTAAATCCAACCCCTTTATTTCCCTGGCAGCCCAACCAGCCCTCCTGGATGCTATTCCAGGTCTCTTTATGGACCCCAATCCTGTGTCACTGACAATTCCACTGCTGCTTTCCTGCCTCGGTGCTGTACTGAGGGACATGGGGAGAATAATGATCTGCTTTTAAAGTTCTGAGTTTGCAGCCTCCCAGCACATCAAGGATACTGATATAGGGGAGTAGAATTCCTGGGACACAGAAATGCAGGAATTAAGCAGTTTCCCATTTACAGCTTCCGCCCAAGGCCCCAAACCAGCAGGTCCAGCAGCAGGTGCCTGGTCCTATGACCTGGGGGGCAAAGCCCAGAATGTTTCTGTCCTGCCCGTCCCAGCAGTGACCAACTGCCCATTTCCTTTCCCAGGTGGGTTCTTGGGAAGACTGGGCAGCCCAAGGGCCTCTGGAACTGAGCTGTTCCCCCAGATGCTCTTTCCCTGCTCCTCAGCTGGTGCCACATGGCCTGTTCCAGACACAGGAGTCACTGAGTGTCTGGACTGGCTCTCAGGAAGCCGTGGATGGCATTCCTTCTGGAGCTGGAATTCCTTCTGGAGCAGGACCTCCCACACCCCCAAGGCTCTCTGCACCCCTGCTCTGCCCTCACAGCCTTGCAGCCCCTCTGCAGCTCCCCTGGTTTCCACCCTGGCACCCGGGACAGTGGAAGCTGCCCCTGCCCATGGCAAGGGCTGGAATGAGATGAGTTTTTTAAGGTCCCTTCCCACCCAAACCCCTCTGGGATCCCAAGATTACCTTGAGGGGGGGCACTCGTGGCACGGGGGTCCCGGCGCCAGGAAAGGGCTGGGGCTGGCCCCGAAAGGCCTGGTGGTGCCTGCAGGGCTCCACCACCCGGGGCTTCTTCTCAGGGGTGGCTGGAGCTTCCTCGGGGCTCTCTGCCTTCCTCTTGTGGGGCTCCACGCTGACCTCCATGTCCTCACTCACGGGGGGCTTCTCCTCGGGTGGGGCCGGAGCCCCCGCCGGGCTCTGCCCCTTGGCTGCTGCCTCCCCTGCCCCGGGGCTCTTTGGTTTGCTGGGGGCACCCACAGCCTCGTTCCCTGGCACCTCCTTGGCTGCACTGAGCTTCCTCTCTTCCTCTGGCTTCTGCCTGGTGGCACTTTGGGGTCTGTCCTGCACGGATTCTCCTTGGACTCTCTCTCTGACGGGGACAGAACGGTCGCTGGGCTTCGCCGAGGCCTCGGGGGGCTTGGCCGGCTTTGGTGCCTCCTCTCTTCCTTCCTCTGCTCCTTTTTTCGCTGCTGGTGCTTCCTGGGCTGGCTGTGCCTTGGCCTCGGGGGCAGAGGGGCCGTGTTCCCGGCGTGGAGCTGCCGGGCTGCTCCGGGGCTGGGCGGGCTCTGCCTCGGGATGCGCCGTCAGCCGCTCCGACTCCTCGGGGCTCAGCCCAGAACTGGCACAGAAACAGAGGCACAGTCGGTAAAACATCTGTGCAAAAACCACACACGATCCTTGGGGAAACAGGGGCAGCATCCTCTGCACCCCACACCCCGAATAAATGTCTCTGAGACACAGCTCTGAGAACCTTCTACGCTGTTACTTCTTACGTGAAAAACAGAAATCGGCATCAAAGTTTAAAACCACCTGAATGGGACACCAGGGAGCTCCAGGTCCCTGTCCAGACACTGATTTTCCAGGCTGCAAATCCAATGGGTTTGGCCCACAGTAAATATTCCCTGTGTCAGCCCCCACAGACCCCTGTGCAGGGTGGGAACAAACCCCCGGCCCGGGGCTGCCCTGGGCCCACACGGTGACTCTGGCAGGAAGGGACACGGAAAAGGGGCATTTTTTCCAGAGGAAATCTAATTCCCAGGGTGATTAACTTCATCCACCCCTCTCAAAGAACCATTAAATTCTGTGTTTTTTCCCCAAACACAACCCCATGGAGCCTGAGGAAGCCCGGCCCAATGAGACCCTGGGAATGGTTCCTACCAGAGAAGCTCTCAGGAGCTGGAGGGAACTGAGGTCCTGCTACTCCACATGTCCCCTCCATGTTGTCCTGCTGTCCCCTGTCCCCCTAAAACTCCAAGACTGTGGCTGCTGTCACCTTTCAGCACCCAGAGCCCTGGGTCAGGTGGCTGAGGAAAGCTCTTTCCAAGGCACCAGGTCACCTGGACCCCCAGCCTGGGGTATTCCTGTAGTTGGTACCACAGCTTGTACCTACACACAGCCCAGCCCTGGCTCACCCACAGCATCCCCATCAGACCATGGGATGACAGAAACAATCCAGATGCTCTGGAGGGTTAAAACACCCTGGATTAATGGGAAGGAAACGGACTTGCAGGCACAGGACAAGCAGAAAATCCGGATAACGAGCAGAAATGCAGGATAAGAAATCCCTTATCAGTTATTTATACGTGTCTGCTCCTTCCCAGGTTTCTCAGTAACTCACACAGAAACCTGGAAACCCCTCCACAGCCCCAGAGGGTGGAAAAATCTTAAACCAAGAGGAAACACAGGATAAAAGACGGGCAGGATTGGGAGTTTAACCAGGAGCTGTGGGATTGAAGAGGTGGGCAGCACACCAGAGGTGAGACACGCTCAGCCACCACACTCCAAGGACCTCCAGAGCCTCAGCACCAGGAGAACTACAGGAGTGGCTCAAAGGAGTGGGAAAAGGTGAAGCCCAAGGACATCCTGCCTGAGGAGAACAGGGCTGGGCAAAGCACAAGGCACTGGGGCAGCAAACACCTCTGGATGGATCCCTCTGGCCCTTCCCAGCTCCCTGGCAGGCAGGTGAAGCCAGAGACCCTCTTCAGGTTCCAGGACTAATGGAAAGCAGTGCCTGTGGATGGACAGACACCCAGCAGGGCCCGGGCACAGGCTGAGCTCTCACCTCTGGCCGTAGTAGCTCTCGAAGAAGTGCTCCTTCCACAGCTCCACCTTCTTCTCCTTTTCGATTTCCTGCCGGATCCGGAGCTGCATCTCGGGGGTGAACTCGCCTGCGGGTGCCAGAGGAGTGTTGTCAGAGCCAGGTGGGTGAACCGGGCACAGCCCAGAGCCCTCACAGTTTGTGGCTGCCCAGAACTGTTCCCCTGTGCCCTCAGAGCAAACCCAACAGCAGCTCAGGACCGTGGAGGTGTGTGAGATGTGCTGGTCCTGCGAGGGCATCACTGACACCACGGTGACCTGAAGGTTTGTCTCCTTCCCACACCACCCCCTGTGTGCTCTTCAGCAGGGGAGGGAAGGCACAGGAGTCACTGCAGTTACCAGAGAGGGGATCCCCCAGAGGGATCCACAGACATGGAATGTTTCCATCACTGCACAGTTGGACTCTCGGCAATTCGCTCAAATAACAGGATTGTGAGAGATTCTCGCTGAGTTTGTTCTCTGTGCAGCGACTGAGATCTGCCCAAAGGGAAGCTGAGTGTCCCCTGGGAGCACAGTTCCTACCAGGGGGGAATTGGGGCAGTCCAGGGAAGGGAAGGGAGCTGGGAAGGGGCTGGAGCAGCAGGAGCAGCTGAGGGAGCTGGGGGGGCTCAGCCTGGAGAAAAGAGGAATCAGGAGGGACCTTCTGGCTCTGCAACCCCCTGACAGGAGGGGGAATAGAGGGGCAGCCACAGCTTCTCTGGGCAACCTGTGCCAGGGCCTCCCCACTCTCAGAGGGAAGAATTTCTCCCTAATATCCCATCTAAATATCCAAACTGACATCTCCAAGGACACCACACTGACCCTGGCTGAGGACAGTGCCCTGCTCTGGGAACAGAACCCCCCTTCCCTCCTGAGCTCAGCAGAGTCTCTGTTTAGGTACCACGACTCTGGAATGCCACAGCTCCACTGTCATTTCAGAGGGGTTTTAAACACACTTTTCCTTCTTTCCTCATCTTTTCCAGAGATTTGCTCTATTCCACATTTGAAGCTGAACAGAGAACTCCTTCTGCAGCGTCTCTGACCTTGAGGTCCCGGAATTCCGGGCTTGCCTTTGCTTCCAAAGGCTGGGCAGCCTGCAGTGCTCCAGGAAACAGCCTCCAGGCATTCCCCAGAGCCTGCTGGGCTCAGGGTGGGGAGGATTTACCTTCTGCCAGCCGCTCCTTCCAGCCCTGGGCGGCCGAGGTGAAGAACTCATTGTTGAGCGCGGAGCCGCTGAGCTTCAGCAGCCCGTCAGCCCCCACCTGCAGCAGGACACACAGGACAACAGGTCACCTCTGGGCAGGGCAGGGGATCCCCCTGGAACACGGCAGGAGCCCCAGGGCTGCCACAGATCCCTTGGGAACCCGCCTGGAATTCACAACAGCCTCAGTCTGGAGCCAAGGCTGGATCCCCAGGGCTGTGGGAGCCCCAGGGTGGATCCCTGGATCCCCAGGGGCTGTGGGAGCTCCAGGCTGGATCCC